TTTTACCTTGAAATGTCGCTTAGACGCCAGATGAATGATTTTTGCGTGGAAGGTGAAATGAAGAGACGCGTTAGTGTTCAGTTTGACCGGCAGTGTGTGTGACTGAACTCTCTGACACGGTTTTAAACGTAACCCGCAACATAACCGGCACGTTTATGTAAAGAAAGTCCACTTTAACAGCTATTTGTTAATTTGGCGTCGTGTATTGATAGTGTAGGCTAACATAAAGACCGTGACTCGGTATAAATCTGGATGCTGTTAAGACATTTTAAGCAGAGACAGACTTGGAAGCGAAGTCTTGGGAGTCGTAGTTTTTTAGGTTTAGGAAAGGATGAAGTCTAAAATATCTGTCTGGAAAACGAATTGAGTGTTTTTATACGAATCGTTTTAATCGTGGCGGAGGAAACATTTCCTCTTACTTTCCTTTAGCTCGATGTTGAAGTGTGGAAACAAACTGCCTCAAATGTTACGTTAGAAACACCTCAGCCATTCCAAAGGGGTCTTGGAAACAGTTTATTTGCCAAGTCAAGTTTATTTGGCAAATATAGCAACCCACTCAGAGCACAGACTTAGCTTTAGATCAAGAAATCCTCTCACACAGCTGTGGTTTCGCTAGCCGGTGTGCTAGCCGCCTCCTCAGCTCTCAGAAATGTCGAGTATCTCCAACGAAGCTGTGATCTTGATTAAAGATGTAAAGCCCGGATCGAAAAACCTTAATATCGTCTTTATAGTTTTGGAGATCGGTAAGTGGATTCACTGCTGTGCCCCTCGCGACCGTTTATTAGCATGAGAGGCGCTAATTCCTCCGTGCTAACGTTCGTGATTAACATGTCTAACGTTGCGCTTGACCTCTCTGTTGCTCTGTTCTTGTAGCTTTGGTTTTTCATGCATCTGCCTTCGTGTAGCGCAATTATTTGTGTGTTTTAGTAGATTTGTCACGGCTGAGAATTGACTGAACTTTGCTGTGCACGCGCAGGTCGGGTGACGAAGACAAAGGACGGGCACGAGGTGCGCTCGTGCAGGGTGGCGGATAAGAGC